AAACTTAGAAAGATTTCTTACACATTTACCATCCTATTACATGCAACCTTTTCAAGTTTAGATTAAGTCTAAGTTGGGACTTTTTGAGATCGTTAAGGGGGGCTGCTGAGCTTCCTTGGGTGGTGTTGGGTGATTTTAATGATTTATTGGCCCAGTCTGAGAAGAGGGGAAGATTACCGCATCCGAATGGTTTGATTGAAGGTTTCAGTGAGGCCTTGGAGGATTGTGAATTGTTGTCTCTTCCTATGATTGGTTATCCGTATACATGGGAAAGGGGTAAGGGCACGGTGGATTGGGTGGAGGAGCGGCTTGATAGGGTTGTGGCTTGCATGGAGTGGCTGGGCCGTTATGATAAGGCTAGACTGTACAATATTCGTACAGACGTGTCGGATCATTCGGCTCTTTTTCTTGATATATACGAGTCAGTGCAGGTCACCAGGCCACGTGGCTTTCGATTTGAGAATGCCTGGCTGTTGGATGAGGGGTGTAGGGGTATGGTGGAGCAGGAATGGGCCAGCACACATGGGGTGGAGTTACAGTCCCGCCTTGCCATGTGTGGTAAGGGTTTGAAGGCATGGGGTGGAGACCGACACCACAAGTTTGGGAGGTGGATTAATGATTTAAGGAAGGAGCTGGATGCGTTATGAGGTAGACGTGACCCTACTGCGCTGGCACGCTTTAGACATCTTGACAGTTGTCTGAGTCCGGCCTTATCTCAGGAGGAGGTTTTTTGGAAACAGCGTGCTAAACAGCACTGGCTACAAGGGGATGATCGTAATACGAAATTTTTTCATAAGTATGCATCTCACCGGAAGAAGAAGAATTATATTGAGAAGCTAAAGGATGATGATGGGGTATGGAAGGAGGGTCAGGCACTTGACACGCTGGTGACGGCTTATTACAGGCAGATTTTCACGACTGGAGGCTCACCTGGGCCTTTCAGGGTGGATTCTATGCGATCTCGTGTGTCTGAAGCGCAGAATGCTCACCTGCTGCGTCCGTTTGAGCCGGAGGAAGTCCGGGTGGCGCTTTTCTCTATGGGCAAGGACAAATCGCCGGGCCCTGATGGCATGAATCCTGGCTTTTATCAAGCCTTCTGGGACGTAATTGGTAAGGATGTCACATCCTTTGTGCTTAATTGTCTTTCTCAGTCTTCTTTTCCTGATTGTTTGAATGACGCAAATATTGTGTTGATCCCCAAAAAATGCATCCCCGAGTCTGTATCTGATTTACGCCCAATAGCTCTGTGCAATGTGCTTTATAAAGTTATGGCTAAGATGTTAGCCAATCGAATGAAACCATTATTAGAAGACATTATTTTCGAATCGCAAAGTGCCTTTCTCCCCGGAAGGTTGATCTCGGATAATATATTAATTGCCTCTGAGGTGGGTCACTACTTGAGAAGGAAGCAATTAGGCCAGGTGGGGTGGGCGGCTCTTAAACTTGACATGGCCAAGGCATATGACAGGATGGAGTGGTCGTTTGTGAATGACATGTTGGTGGGCCTGGGTTTTTATGCTAAATAGATACAGTTGCTAATGATGTGTATTCAAACAGTACGGTATAGAGTTCTGGTAAATGGGAGGCCATATGAGGAAATCGTGCTTACTAGGGGTCTTCGTCAAGGGGATCCCTTGTCTCCTTACTTGTTTATCATTTGTGCCGAAGGTTTATCTTTGCTATTGCAGGACTCACAGGCGAAGGGTCTTATTCATGGTTGTAGAGTGGCCCGGGGGGCGCCACCGATCTCACATTTGTTTTTTGCAGATGATAGCTTACTCTTCTTTAAAGCCAATCTGCAGGAAACTTTGGAAGTGAAGAGATGTTTGAGTGTGTATGAATCGTATTCTGGCCAAGCGGTGAATTATCACAAATCCAGCGTGTCATTCAGTCGGAATACCCATGGGGAGATGCGTGACCTTGTCTCGGGGACCTTACTGGTAGCACAGGCTGAAGATTTTGGCAAGTACCTGGGTTTGCCTTCAGTTGTTGGCAGAAACAGGAGGGTGGTTTTTGCTTACATTGAGCAAAAGCTGAAGCAGAGGTTTGGCTCTTGGAATAAGAGATTGCTGTCTAGAGCTGGCAAGGAGGTTCTTCTGAAAAGCGTTGCGCAGGCTATGCCAACATACACTATGAGTATCTATCTACTCCCGATGACTTTATGTGCCTCTTTGGAAAGATTGATAAACAGGTATTGGTGGGGATAGAACGGCAGTGATACCAGCATCCATTGGTTAGCTTGGGACAGGATGTGCAAACCCAAGAAGTTTGGAGGTATGGGTTTTAAATGACTGCATGAATTTAATCTCGCTTTGTTGGCAAAGCAAGGGTGGCGTCTGCTAACAAATCATAACTCCCTGATGGCTCGTGTTTTTAAAGCAAGGTATTTCCCTACTACTTCTTTCTATGAGGCTGTAGTGGGTGGCAATCCTAGTTATGTATGGAGGAGCATAATGGCCAGTCAGAATATGTTGAAATCAGGATGTAGGCGCAGAATTGGCAATGGCAGGGCTACTCGGGTGTGGTCGGTTCCATGGGTTCCGGATCCACACAGTCCCTTTATTGAGACCGACCAAGGAGCTAACGGCCAGGATGTGTTAGTCTCGGATTTAATAGACTCAAACACGGGGAATTGGAACCATGAATATTTACATCAGTTATTTAATGCTCGTGATGCAGGTTTAATCCTCCAGCTGCCTGTGAGTCCGGATCATGATGACATGTGGTTTTGGGAAGGAGATATAAGGGGTTGTTATTCGGTGAAAGGAGGTTATAAACGCCTGTGCACTCTGAATACGCAGCCATCTACTGTGTGGAATAATGTATGGAAGCTGTAGGTCCCCCCTAAGTGGAAGGTTTTCTTGTGGAGAGTTCTCCTGAATATTTTGCCAACACTTGATAATTTGTTAGTTAAGAGGGTGGTCACTATTAATTCTTGCCCGTCTTGTGGCTTAGATGAAGAATGTGTGATGCATTTGTTTTGTACATGTCCTTATGCTTTGAATATGTGGCAACTTTCTCAATTGCAAATCCCTCCTATTGCCAACAGGAATTTTGTGCAGTGGACAGAAGAATGGCTCGGTGATTCGTCGGGATACTCTAGTGAAATACGAGGCCAAATATGTGGTTTGCTTCATAGTATATGGGCTCTAGGAACACTGCCGTGTGGGACTCGGCATTGCCGTCTCCAAGCATCATGCATCGGCGGCTTGTGGCAAATTGGGCAGCCTGGGTGGAGTGTGAAGGCAGGCGGAAAGCGGCTAACGGCAGGCTGGCCGAGACGACAACGGTGCAGCCTCCCTCGAGCATACCAACCTCCTTTTCCTGTTTCATTGATGCTGGTTTCCATGGACCGCAACGAACACCCGCATTTGGGTTTGTGGTATTTGGGGGTGATTTTTCTTTTGTGGCAGCGGCAAGCGGACCAATGGTGTGCCCTTATGATCCCCTTCTGGCTGAAGCTATGGCCATGTGTGAAGCACTCTCTTGGTTGAAGGATCACGGATACTCAGGTGGCATAATCTATACGGACTCTTCGGTACTGGTCTCAAGTATTAAGAATGTTAATTCGTTTCGCAATTATTTTGGTTACACACTTATGTCTTGTAAATGTTTAATTAATGCTTTGCCGGATACTGTAGTATGCTATGTGAATAGGGAAGCCAACCAAGTGGCACACTCCTTATCTAAGCATGTAGCTGCTATAGTGGAACGTTCTGTCTGGAGAGATGTACCTCCTACTTTTATTGAGCCCATGTTGGCGAATACAATCTGATTCATTTGGCTTTCAAAAAAAAAAAAAAAGTTGAGCTCCAAATGTGCTATCCATATTAATTTATTTAATCTTCTAGAATTGAATCAAATATCTTATCAAAAAAAAAAAAAAAAAAAGAATCAAATATGATTAAAGAATATGATCACATAAATAAATTGACAAAAAATATTTTATACCCTAATTTACTCAATAAGAAACGATAAAAATCTCTCTAAGGAGGAATATATAAAATTGTTAAATTGTACGATAGAGACTCCTTGCCTTCCTGGCTTCTTCCCTTGACTCCATTCAAATCTTTCTCGTGAGTGGACTTTGACCAGGCCAGTACTTTTCCAATCCCTTGGATGCAATTCTCTCTCTCCATCAACTCCACTACTTTTCAAATTCTGATTTTCCTCCCCATCAAAAATTCAAACTTCCCAATTTCTTACCATCACTATTTTTCATCAAATAATCATTATTTCCCATTGTATACATACATACATATATATATATATATATATATATATATATATATATATATATATATATATATATAATAATAATAATAATAATAATAATTTACACTAGAAAAAACATGCACGACGAATTCAACAGAGGAGATGTTAAGAAAGAATTAAACTTATGACATTCAAGTACAAAAATCATATTTCATTTACTCAGTCACTCCTTTTGAGGATTGAGGGTACTTCATTTTTCTTTTTTTTGAGTGACGAGAAAAACTTGAAGTTACTATTTGTGAGTATGCATTGGATAAATTTCATCTTGTGATCCTAGCTTGCAAAGGACCACAAGGAGGTAAACTAGGTTAGGTTGTTCATAGCTGAGCTGACTGCTTCAAACTAAGAAGGCCAATAGACCGCTCCCACGAAAGTCGAACTTGGAATCCTGTGATTATCAAGACTATTCTTAAAAAAAAAAAAAAAATTAATAATAAGTCACAATTTTTATTCCTTTGTTTATTTAAAAAAAAAAACAATAAGAAAAGAGTTTTACTTCAATACCTTTATTCATCATTTTCTTTGTAGCCATATCTCTCTATCTCTCTCTTTTCTTCGGGTGGGGTCATGTTATTTCCTATTGAAAACTACTTGTACAGATAGTGAAAGGTGAGAACTAACCTACCCTCTTCTCTTATACTTTTCAAACTTAAAACCACCCACCACTGCACCCCTCAAAAGGGTTACTTTTCAATGCTTACATATATTTGAAACCATAAACTAACTATTATGATCCACATATATGGCTGAATTAAGCCATATATATATCCAAGCTATCTAGTCTCAAATTTAACACTTATTAGCTTCAATCCTTTCTCACTTGAATCCTTCAATTCAAACACATATATACATAATCAAACATGTCTCCCATCCATTTATACAGCTTGCCACAGCCTATGTTCACATGTACCACAGTTCAATCAACAAAGGGAATATATAGAGAGATCTAGCTAGCTAGCTAGTTCTACATGTTCGATCGATCTGCAAATCGATATCACCACCACCACCATCATCATCATCATGCATCATGCTTATTAGCAGCTTAATTCGAACACCGGTACTTTCATGGACTTCATCTTCCTCCTCGAAGAAGGAGAGCGCATCGCGTTCCTTCATCAGCTGATGCAGTCTCTTGGATGCGCTTACATTTGTCTCTGGTCCTACCTCCCTCAACCATGCAAGTATGCTCGAATTTTTTCGATTTTAATTTGATATGATATACTTACTTGCAGACATATAATATATGTGTTTTGCAGCTATTTTGTGTGTTTGGATGGACTCTTCATTGGAGACAACAATGTTGCCCGGAGGCTTTTTGAGGAGTACAGACACTCACTACCAATTGCTAATGATGGGTATGCATAATAAATTACAGATCCAAATCTTAATTATATATATGCAAATGATTCCAATTAAGAGAAAATTGATGGGCTTACGTGTTGGAATGAATTGTGGTCGATCGATCAGCCGCGTCCCGGGATTCGCCTTCAGGAACAATCTTCAACACCTGGAGCTCCGGTTTGAAGAACTGCAAATACTTGCATCAAATCCAGTGCAGCTCCAGTTCTATAGGGTATATATAGTATAATGCAAATAATAATCATATATATATAAATTTAGGGTTTTCTATTGAATTACCATGCACCAATCATCTGTTTTTCTGTGTTTTAAATTTGATGCAGGAAGCTGGAATCAAGGTTAGTTTGTAATTCTTAACAGATTATATTATATTGGGCAGAAATGAAATTACATTACATACATATATATATATAATTTGTATTCATAACAGATTAGATTTTCGGATTTTTTCATGATTAATTTGTTTGATGTTTATAGACAGCCATTTTAATGGGGTGTAGAGCAGGAGAAGTTGAGGTTGGAATGTCCACCAACCCTCAGGTAAATTAAATTAAAAGATTAATTTAAAAATTAATTAATTAATATAATTATATAAACTACTAAACTAAACTGCTAATTAATAGGTTAATATGGAGATGGAGATGATGAGGGTGCTCTCTCAAGAACCAGCAAGTAAACCTACTACTTCATCTTCCACGTCTCTAAGATCATTGTCGATGGAAAGCCCTACAGCTACAGAGTACACTTCCCTTCTCTTCAATGTCCCAATTCCTTCCACTTCTTATAATGCTCCTTCCGATGACCTCCCGTCAATCTCCGGCCACGTGACGCAAGCAGCCGCCGCCGGTGTTGATCCGGCGCTGAGTCTAATCGGGACGGATAATCAGTTCCCGTTCTTATCCATGCGGCAAACCGAAGAAGACGACGCAATGGCTAGGGCTTATCTGGCTGTAATTTCATCTACTTCTTCTTCTTCACAAGCTCGCGACAGCTTTGCTTCCAATTTCCAGAACCCCAGTGCTTTCAGAATCTACAGAAGAAGATCGTCATCGTTGTCGTCGGAAAACTTATCCCGGAATAATGTCCCGGCGGCAGTGCCGCCGCCCATTATCAGAAGACGACAAGGCAACATGTTCAGAAAATGCGTCGCTTTTTTCAGAAACTTAGACTTGCTAAGGAGGCGGGGGTTAATCCAGGGCGGCGGCACCTCCGCCGCCCCTCCTTCCACCACACAAGTTCATCATGTCATTTCAGAGAGAAGAAGGCGAGAAAAGCTCAACGAAAGCTTTCAACAGCTCAGATCTCTCATTCCTCCCGGGAGCAAGGTACAATTACATGATGAATGCACCGCAACTATTTCATGAATGCATAGCAACTACTCCAAACATGTTGGAGGACATACGGAGACCTTGGAGTAGTTTAAGTGCTTTGGGCATTAGTTGCGATACATTCATTCAATTCGCACTTATAAAAGGATTCTTATATGATCCTCTATATATATATATATATATATATATAGGAGGATTTAGGTGCGGGTATAGCTTCCCCACCTCAACCCCATATATAATCTTTGTATGTATATATGTATATATAGTACATGATTTAGTATTAGTATTAGTATTAACAGAGTAATGATACTGGCATCCGACCCGGATCACCAACAGACATCTGACCCGACACCACATAGAATTCTAACAGGCAAAACTCCAACAGGTCGGGCATAGAATCTTTGTTCTGCTCGACTGTCTGGGGTTCCTTGATCTGCTCTAGCCTCCAGGGTTGTTCCCGTACTAATTCAGCTCCCACAGCTTGTATAGTTCGGTTGACGCATCTTAAGCATTAAAATAAGGCACTCAAGTACACAAATCACGTGTCTTAAGCACACAAACAAAGCACCTTAAGAACACAAACCACGCGCATTTAAAGCTTTAGACTGACACACCTTAAGTACACAAACCACGCACCTTAAGAACACAAATCAGGCACATAATGTTTTAAAATTGGGCACCTTAAGTTTCAACACCTCACACACCTTAAGCATACAAACCACGCACCTTAAGAAGTAAAATCACGCGCCTTAAAAATAGAAAACCATGCACCTAAACAACCGCACATGAAAAGATCAACAACACGAGAACCCATATATATATATATATATATATATATATATATATATATATATATATACCACTTTAAATCCCATATGTCCCACAAAACCTGTCTTTAGGGTATTCGACTTGATGTAAGGTTGTTGATGGTAGCATATACGAGTAATAAATATGTGTAGTTAGTTGTAACTATTAATTTAGATTTTAAATAGAACGGAACAAATATATCAATTTAATATTATATTATTTAGTTTTTAGTTGTGAGGAATCTTCAATTATTCGTACAGGGACATGCATTTTGTGCTTATATGTGTTAACTAGATTAATTAAGAGGGGAAATCATTAAATTTGGGACATTAATTCACCCAAAAGTCTAAAGATTTATGCTGCTATACTAAGAATTTGTTTACTTTCATTATTATAGTATTCTTTACAAGGTAGCATATAGTGGTTCAATTGTGAGACTACCCATTTAAAATTGTAACAGAGGTAGTGTCATGATATTACATAATAGTTGGCAGGAAATCGATCTTCTAATTAATTTAGCCAGCATTATTAATCTTTTCAAATGCATGCATTTGATCATGAATGCAATTAAGTGTATTAGGGTTGTGCCAATTCATATTTTTTGTTGATTTATAATGTTTTTCTTCATTATTCTTGTTAATTTATACAGAAAGATAAGGCTTCAGTGTTGAGCAACACAACCGAATACTTGGCTTCCCTAAAAGCACAAGTGGAAGAGCTTACTAAAAAGAACCAAATCTTGGAAGCACAACTACCGCCGCCGCCGCCTCAAAAAGCGCCGGCCGCCGTGAAGGAAGAGGTTGGCGCCTCCTCTGCCGCCGCCGCCGAAGGGAGGGTAGATGTGAGCATCACAAACGTTGAGGAATCGACCTCGGAAGAAGCTAATCGCAGATTCGTGGACTTGCGAGTGTTAGTGAGGGGAGAAATTAGCATGTCGGATTTGGTTATCCGTTTGCTTGAGTTCTTGAAAGGGGTTGAGAATGTAGGACTTATATCCGTACAAGCTAACACCACCACGGTACAATCAGCCTCGCTGAATCGCATAATCTTGAGACTCACAATTCATGAGGTATATATGTACATTTATATATATATATATATATATATATATATATATATATGCATACATCCATTTTCATAAGGTAAAAACTTGTGTGAAACAGTCCCACGGGTAACTCTAAAAGTCGGGTCAAGATAAAAAGGTAATATATATATTGAAAATTGTAATACTAATCAGGAATAAAATGTTTAATTACTTATATTAAAAAGTGTAATACTTTTATATTTTTATTTAAAAATATTACATTTTTCCTGTAAGTATTATGTTTTCTCTTATAAGTAACAAAAACATGCCAACATTACTTGTAAGGAAAATTAAAGTGTAATACTTTTGATGAAAAATGTAATACTTTTACATCAAAATGTAAGAGTATTATGTTTTTTCTCAAAAGTATTACACTTTATTCATGGTTAGTAATACATTTTTCAGTATAAATATTTTATTTTAATATTGACCCGATCCGATCTTTTATTCTTGAGACTATGACCCTTTTCAAAAGTGTTAATTAATTCAAATTTTAGCCTCTTGTTTGGCAAATTTTTTAATTTTTTTTTTCATTTTCCATTCTCAATTTCAAAATCAATTATATTTAGTGCATGCCTTTTAAAGGGTATTTTATGTTTGTTCTATTTTGAAGTCAAAAATTAAAAGTGGAAAAAATGTAATAATACAACTAAGAGATTGATACGCGGACCAGTTAGAGAAATTCTATGAATTTTAAAACACATGTTTTAAAGATGGTGTGGTTAAAGTTAAGTAATTAATGTAGGTTTTACAATTCAATTCAAGCTTTTCATTTTCATTTGCATGGAGTACGTGTCAGATTCATTATAACGTAAAGTTTTGTTCATAATATATACGGAGTATATTTTTTTGAATGTTTTGTTCATAATATATATTTTAGATGATAAAAAAATCGTATGTTCATAATATTTTATAAAATATTATATTCTATCTAGAAATCACATGATGATGCAGCAATCTCAACAAATGGTCAAATAATTAGTTGTTTTACTGATTAGGGTTTCTAATTGTATATGTAATCTTGAATAATTTAATTTAATTATATTAATTAAATGAAACATAACCTTAAAAACCTACAATCTAGAAGCTAAAAGAAATTGATTGTTTCTTAAGTTATTAACCCACTTTTTAGACTAATTCGCACTGCATTTTACTAGGAAATTCCCTAGCCAACTCAGTTTGAAAATGGTTTATGTTGATTTATTATTTTATTATTATTATTATTAATTTATTATATATTTATTTCTCCAGGGAGATGAGTGGGACGAGTCTGCTTTCCAGGAAGCCGTAAAAAGGGTTGTTGGTGACGTGGCACAGTGACAGGTGGGCTTGCTTATATCGCAACACCTGGCGAACTGTCACTTGCTGAGAGCGCTATTGTCTCACAATTATCCTAATTTAAATTTTTCTGATAATCCGGAAGAAAATCATTGATTTTGTACTTGCATGAGGATTATGTCTTGTGATGTGATTACAGAGAATTTAGTGTAGCAGTTCACAAGAAAGCAAATTTTGAATATTATTATTAATTGGCTTCTTAATTTTCATCATTAGGGAAATTTGGACTGTGATCGTTGAGTTGGCGAGTTTTTATATTAGCAAATCATATTAATTTTTTAATACGAACTCGCCACCTTAACGATTAGTTGTACTAAAATTTGAATTTTATATAGTATTTTAGATTGTTTGATATTAATAGTTTTATGTTGAATATAATACATTTGAAGTATTCAGGTGTGAATTTTGTTTTGTTTTGTTTTTTTTTTTTTTTTTTTTTTTTTTTTTTTTAAAGCACATGAAACTTAGAGGTGTGTAAACTTTTTTTAAAAGTTTAGTTAACCGACTGAAGTAACGAATTTCATTTAACCGTTTTTAAATCAAAATATTTCAATTCAATTAATGGTTAAAAGTTTTATAGATATTTGGTTAACGCTGAATTTGGTTTGAAAATATTGGTTAACCGAAAATTTTATATATATATATATATATATATATATATATATATATATATAGGGAAGGGATCAGGTGTATTTGTGGCTTCTCGTGCGGTTGATTAATGTGCGTGAGTTTTATACTTAATGTGCGTGAGTGTTGTGCTTAATGTGTCTGAGATTTGTACTTAATGTGCGTGAGTGTGTAATGTTAATGTGCGTGACTTTTGTACTTAATATGCCTGAGTATTGTGCTTAATGTGCCCGAGCTTTGTGCTTAATGTGCGTAAGTTGAGTTCAGAATTACGAGCTCAGAAAGAAGAAGAACAGAAAGAGAAGGTTGGTGAAGCTTTTCTGATTGTGTGTGAATGGGTGGATATATGTAAACACACATATGGTTGTTCTGATTTTATGTTTTATTTGTACAGGAGAGAGAGAAAAGATTGAGAAAGAAGGAAAGAAAGGCTCCTGTACAGATGTTTCAATCTGTGAGAGCATAAAAGACATTGTGAATGATGCTGAAACAAAGCAGGCTGAGGAGAGTGGTAAGAAAACTCAAAAGGACCCTCAAAGCAAAACAAGACAAAATTCATTCCTCCACCACTTCGAAACAAAAACAAGAAGAAAATGCAGTAGTGGATGCACATAATTTTCACAGTAGTGGATGAAGAACACACGCACGCACATTAAACACACAACTCACGCACCTTAGGCACAAGACTCACACATCTTAAGTACAAACCTCACGCACATTAACATTACGCACTCACGCACATTAAGTACAAATTAAATCTCAGGCACATTAAGCACAAGACTCACGCACATTAAGTACAAATCTCACGCACATTAATCAACCGCACTGGAACCTTTTTCCTATATATATATATATATATATATATATATATATATATATATATATATATATATATATATATATATATATATATATATATATATATATATATATATATATAATAGAGATCAAATGCGGTAATAGGCTTCAGGTACGGAGATGTGGTTTAATCTTAGCCCTTAATCTAATCAAAATCAACAGCCCAGATTGAACACATATTAAAAAAATGCGATGACAATTTGGTCTTTTTGCATCTAGGTCAAATTTAAAGTGCGTGATTTTCCTTCTTAAGGTTGTGTGGTTTGTGTGCTTAAGGTGCGTGGTTTTTGTGATGTATGTTTAAGGTGCGTTAGTTGTTGAAACTTAAGTACGTTGGTCTAAAGTTTAAGGTGCATGGTTTTCTTTCTTAAGGTGCGTAGTTTGTTTGCTTAAGGTGCGTCAGTTGTTGAAACTTAAGGTGCGTCGGCCTAAAGCTTTAGGTGCGTGGTTTTCTTTCTTAAGGTGCATTTTTTCCTTCTTAAGGTGCGTCGGTCTAAAGATTTATGGGTGCGTGATTTTCCTTCTTAAGGTGCATTGTTTTCCTTCTTAAGGTATTTTATTTTCCTTGTTAAGGTGCGTTGTTTTCCTTCTTAAGGTCGCCATTTTTATAGTTTTTTTTTCACTCAACAGTACATTGGTGTTTTTTCAATTTACGTTTCCAAGTTCAAAATGATCCGATCTAGGTTTTGTTGTTTTCAATTATTTAATTCAAAAGAAAAAAAAAATATGATAGCAATATAATAAAAAAAAATAGTGGAGTTGTTATCTTGGGAGTAAACATGAAGAAGATGGATGCATTTGAGGATGCACATTTTTTTTAAAAAAAAATTCATTGATTTGAGTCGTTGATCTAGATTTGATCAACGACTCAGATCTAACCGCATCTTTCACCTAGGAGCATCTCTGCACCTGATCTCATCCCTATATAGGGGATGGTTCACATGCGAAAGCTCTCCCATAGAATGAGATCTAGGTCGTTGATCTGTTCTAAATTAGATCAACAGTTCAAAATGAAGGAAAATTTAAAAAAAAAAAAAATTGCGCTTCTTAGCAACATGGATGCGAATGATACAGTGTCTCGAACTAATGTATCGTAAGTGTCGAACTTATGCACCTTAAGCTATGAATTGATGCACCTTAAGTCTCGAACGGATGCACGCACCTTAAGTCTTAAACTGATGTACCTAAGTGTCGAAATTATGCACCTTAATTACTGAACTGATGCAACTTAAGTTTCAAAGTGATGCACCTTAACTACTGAATAGATGCACCTTAAGCTGGAAAATAATGCACCTTAAGCTTTAAATATATGCACCTAGAATATGGAAGTCGATATTCCTAATGAATCACAGTTGAACACCTTAAGAGTTAAATTCATGCACCTTAAGCTGGAAACTGATGCACCTTAAGTTTGAAATTTATGCACCTAGAGTCCATAAGTCATGCATCCTAAGAGTTAAACTGATGCACAATAAATTAGAGAGTGATGCATATCAAACTGATGCATATCTTGTGCACCATAAGCTATAACTTATGCACCTTAAGATATAAACTTACACACCTTAAACTTTAAACTTTTGCACATTGAACTTTGAAATTATGCAAAATTACCATAATGTCACTGCGTTCTTTTTTATTTTTTTCTTCATTTAAGACTGTTGATTTGGCTAGAAATGCCTGAGATTTCACCTTATTTTTTACCTGAGAACTCCTTTGCATTTGATCTCATATGTGTGTGTGTGTGTGTGTTAACTATTATTTATACTTACACTTTTTAAATTTGTGCTTTTATATTTGTAGTGTTGTTATTGTATTGTTTTTGTATATTTTCTTATAGATTTATTATTATAGGTATTGATGTAATTCGTAAAGTAAATTTTTATTTATAATTTAAATGATTTACAAATTTAGCTAGAAAAATTTTGGTTAATCGGTTAACCGATCGATTAACTCAGAAAAAAAAAAAAACTCTAATTCAATTAATTTGATAATAAAAAGTTCGATTCCGTTAACGGTTAAAATTTTTAAAAAATTGATTAATTCAGTTTGGTTAAAATGATTTAGTTAATCGATTGGTTAATCGAGTGCATACTCCTAATGAAACTAATGACATTGTGAAAAAAAAATTGATAAATATCAAATTAATTTTTCTTCTCTGTATAGCAGAAGTGTTTTTTTTTTTTTTTTTTTTTTTGGTAAAATCAAATTCGAAAAAAATTAGGGTTTATTCAGAACTATGCATAAATCTTATTACTTATAAACATGTTGCAATTGTAAATTTCCACTTTCATTATAAAATGAGAAAATTGTAATTTATATATACCCCTCCATAATATGCCAATTATCAATGTCAACCTTGAATTATTAGGGGTGCAAATGTTGGTCCTCAATTTTCAAAATGGTACATATAGTACCCTTCCGTAGTGTAAATGTTGCCATTCATCCTTTATTATATAATAAAGCTATATGGTTTGGGAAATAATTAATGTTACAATTAATGCCACAACATCTTTTATTATATATATAAAAAAACACAACATTTAAAAAATAAAATAACTATATATTATATAATCATATAAAAAAAATATACTTTTGAAAAATAAAATAGCTATATATTATATAATTATATAAAAAAAATATGTTCATTAGAGTTTAAATTTACACATACAAAATTTGATATTTACTTTCCAAATGTAATTATCTTAGTTATTATTCGTATTGTGAAAATTATAATATAGATGAAATACAATTAAGAATAAATCAATGTAATTATGTAAATTATCTCTATAAGTTTATTTGAATATGCACATAATTAGAGATTATATTAATCATACAAAATTATAATTATAATTTTAATTGTAATTTTGTATTCTATAAAAATAATAAATACTTGATCAATGGAAGCTCAAAAATATTATTATATTAAATAATTTAAAATATTTTAGTTGTATTCTATTTTTTATTTATATTTATAATAATATAATTTTTTTCCGTGCATCGCGCGGGTGAATTACTAGTTTTATAAAATGATACATATGCCCCTCCCGTACGATACGGGAGGGGCAATATATATACTGTTTTAAAATTTGAGGGGCAACATTTATACCACTAATAATTCAGAGGTAACATTGATAATTGACATATTATAGAAGGACATAAATTACAATATAATTTTCCCATATAAAATGGAGTTAGTTCAACTTAATTTATTAATGCCTTAAAAATCAACTTAGTACGATTGCTGGTCAGACTCTAATGCCCCAATCGGTTAATTAATGGCTAGGAAAAAAAACAATTTGAACACAAAACAATAGTTAGTGTTGGTCGGCCTTTGATATTTTGAAACAAGTCAATAGTCGATATGAAACACAAAACAAGTCAAACACAGTACAATTTTTTTTTTTTTTTTTTTTTTGAAAGTTACTAGCTCTATTACATTGTAGTATCTGTTCATATACTTTCTCAACCTACTGAAACACAAAGAACCAATAATGCCTCCACTGAGGCTTGAACTCATAATCTTCCAAATGGAAGTCCAACCCGGATACCATTAGACCACATAGTCAATAGTCGATATGAAACACAAAACAAGTCAAACACAGTACAATATAATTGTTCGTAAGATTTTAATATTTTAAATTGTTACGCAGCTTGTATTTATGTCATCATGTATGAGAAAATATTTGACCTTAAATAATTTTTTTTTTCTCATTATTAACAATTTCATTCCATTATTCTTTCACTCCCA